AAAAAAAAAATGAAGGAAGACATAGACGATAAGAAATGAAAATAGTACCTCCACGCGCTTCTTCCGGGTAGCAACGTGTAATGCAGTGTTCCCTTTCTTGTCTGGAAGCATAACGATCGCAGCATCAGCGTTGAGAAGCAATCTTACCACTTCACAGTTAACCCCCTTCACTGCCATTTGCAAAGCTGTTTGGCCTTTCTTGTCTGTCCTTCTTGCCAGTTGTGGATCTTTGTCAAGCAATGCCTTGACAATCTCCACATGCCCTTGTCTCGCAGCTAAATGCAATGCATTCTTCCCATTGGATCTTGAAATCTCAACCAATGTGGAGTCCTTCACAAGCAATTCATTCACCACATCTATGTGTCCTCTTGCTGCTGCCGTTATAAGGGGTGTGGCATTTGAAGGCCCGATTGTTTTGCTTAGTTCTGGATCATGGTCCAATAGTACTTGCACAATGGCTGAATACATGAGCGAGAACAAGATGCAGATTAAAAAAAAAGATTAGCACACTTGATTTATTATTTTTTTTAAAAAAATGATATCGGGCCAAAGATTAGTATTGAACAAAAGAATAAAATATACTCCGTACTTTGTAATTTTATCTTTGAAAACTTCAAGAATGAAATCATTAGGGTCGTTTAGTGAGAGTTATCTGGTAGAAATAACAGAATTTTCTGTAAGGGAAAAACATTCTGCAACATCCATTTCAGCCAAAGAAGCAAGTCAAGTCAGTAGCTACACAGTCCACTGATAATCAAATAAGCAAAACAAGACATAGAAGGCTACCAAATGGAGCCTAAATTTCAAATCTGGCATCATCATCATGGGTTATACATACACACTTGCAAAGAATTTAAATACTCTAGAAAACAAAATTTGAATATCATTACCATGGTGTCCTTGACTTGCAGCAATATGCAAAGGATCGAAGAGAGACCGGTTCTTCTTGGTGAGAGTTTCCTTATTTGAATATTTCAACAACTCTTTAACCACATCAAGATGACCCTTATCAGCTGCAGTAAACAGTGCCGTCTCTCCTAACTCGTTCACCTCATTGATCACACATGCCCTAATCTCAGCCACCTCTTCCTCAAATTCAGCCCCGCTCAGCATCCCAACCATTTGAGAGCCGATATCGTCAAGAATTTGCTTCACGGCTGCAAGATCCCCCTTTTGGGCTGCCAAATGAAGCTCGGTGTCATTGTGCCTACCTGTCACCTGTTTCACATATTTCTTCTTCCCCGCTTGATCAATTCGCTTCCCAGAATTTGAGAGGACCAATGCAGGGGCAGTTGATGAGGGAGATGGGGATGGAGATGGCCCACTCTGGGAAATTTGGGTGGTTATTAGACTGATCTGCCCCTTCTCCAAGTCTTTATCACCTGTTGAACATTTCAGTTTCTCTTTAATCAGTGAACACAATGAAATGCCAACTCTTTTTGCCTATACAAGCTCCAATAGAATTTACTGTAGAAGCATTGAGCATATGACTAATGGCAAATAAATCAACAGCCTTAGTTTCAGAACTGTTAAGGGTCCATTTGGAGACCAAGAAATGCTAGGGAAATAAAATAGGCATCAAAGAAGAGAAGAAATTTGGGTGAAGCTAAGATAAAATCAACAAATTTAATCTAGAAATCTGCTCATATTCATTTCTTTTTTTATTATTTCTGTTATATAAAGACTACAAGAAATCTACAAAATCTTCTTCTTCTTCTTCTTCTTCCCGGTAATTATAGTTTCATCAGGAGTTCAGGATAACAATTTTCATGAATAAGATTTCCAGCTCACCACTATACATCCAAATCATCAACACTTAACTTCACTGTACTTTCCCTAACTCAGAATCAATATGAAGCTCACATACAACTTGCAGAAGAAGAACGCATTCAGGAAACAGAGTGGACATATATACTTCGTGCTCAAAGATGCTTAAAATTTAAGAACCCTTGCAGACCCACAGATTCGCATAAATTGAAGAAAAAAAACACAGAAATTAGAGCAAATTATTTACCTTCTTGAACAGGTGAGGCCATGGTTGATGGAGGAGAAGAAATTTGCAGAGCTCAATTGAGATTTGGGAAAGGGGGTTTGAGGTCTCTTTATGGGGGAGAAGAAGAGCTGATGAATTTCAGGGAAAGAAAGAAGAGGAAAGTGGTCTTGAAAATGACGTTTGTTCAAGTTGATAGTGATAAGTCTTCTTTTTTTTTTTTTTTGAGTGATCAGTGTTTGTTTGTACAGCTCTCTATTAATGAAACTGTATAAATTGTCTGTATACTTCCCCTACAGTAAAGTGGAGTAGTATCTACGGTGGATTTTCTTTAAATACTACTCCCTTTAATTTAATCTATTTGAATATTCTTTGTTTTAAATTTATAACAATTTTTACAAATAATTAATGTAAATATTTAGATAAAATATAAATTTTAGTCGATAAATAACACAACTGAAAAATGTTGTTAATGACCACAATGCAAATGTTGTTCATGTTTTCCAAAGCGATTTTCAAGTTGTTCTTATTATTTCTGTGACTCCATCGCTAAAATGTATCCTGAGTGAATATGGAGTATTTGATTATCCTATATATCCTATATATATATGTAAAAGAGGGTTTCAAAGTTGTGGTGACGACACGTGTCATGCCACACGTGCATACTAATGACACGTGTCCCGCCACGCGTATATCACATGACACATGTACGTCCATCCATGCATGTGAGTTAATTTTGTATTAAATAATTCGTATTTTTATTTTTTATAAACTCTTCACTTTCCAACAATAAAAAACTATTATTTTTATTAACTTTTTATAAACTCTTCACTTTCTGACTATGTTAAAACCAATTTATTGTTTTGACGTATCTTAAAAATATATGCACGATTATTTTATAATTTTAGAAAACTTATGTATATAATTTATTGATTAAAAAGATGTTGCTTATAATTTTTAAAATTATCCATCATATCAAAAAAAAACTAATTACATATAAATTTTATCACGCGTGCATCTTTATTAAATTCATAACATATTTTAGTTGTTTTTCTTATTACATTACTTATTTTACTATATTTTTTTCAGCAAACTAAACAAAGTAAAAATTTAATTGAAGGATTACATGTGGCACATACAAATATGCATTATCTAATGATGTGACATTCCTTAATTGATCTATTCGAGATTTTTATATTAATTTNTGTTTTTGTTCTAGGATAACATGTGGCATATAGGTCATATACCACATACGAATCTTTCAATGATTTATCATTACTTAATTAGTTTATTTTGCATTTTTATTTTATTTTTTTAATAATTATATCAAATTTCAATATTATTTCATTTGATAAAAATTTGATAATTTTGGTCAAGTCGCTCTATATATACTTTGACCATAAAGTGTACAAAAAATATATTATATTTAATTATAATGTAAATTTTGAAAAAATGTATCTATTTAAAATATTATTTTCATATATCAAGTTTCTATGACATTTAATTATTTAAAATTGTATTTAAAGTATTACATAGTTTTACCAAAAAATCCTAAAAGGGAGTATATAGATTAAAAATCTTAATATATTTTATTTGATTATTGTATTTATTTGGAGTTTATATGTTATACCATTTAAAAATATGTAACATACATAATTAGTTATATATCTAAAAAAGGTATAAAATTTATTAATCTTTTAAAAAAGAAATCCTGACATTGTTTTCAATAAGGTATTTATCATTTTATCTTTTATTACTTCATTAAGGTAAAAATCACGGCTAGCCAAATTTATGCTGTTTCACACACACACACACATATATATACACACACACACACACACATATATATACACACACACACATCATACATACATACATAAACACACACACACACATATATATATATGTATATATTTGTGTGTGTGTGTGTATGTATGTATGTATGTATGTATATGTAAAAGATAGTTTAGGGGTTGTAGTGTTGCCACATGTCATACGTGACAAGGCAGTAAATGCCAACGCGTACAGACCTCAAACATTAAACGCCAACGTGTAGGCCAATGTGTGCAGACACTAAGCATTGATGTTCGTCTTTCGCAATTCTCGCTTCAATAGTAACATGTACAGATGCCCAGCCGTCATATATCCCCAACGAACATCAAAACACCAAAATGAACATCAACCGGTACAATGCCAAAATGAACATTTAAAATCATTA